GACTCTTAGCTCCAATTAACCACCAGAAAACCAGAGGTGGCGGTATGGCTCAAGTGGTAGAGCACTCACCTTGAGCTGAAGCATTCAGGGACAGCACCCAGGCCCAGAGTTCAAGTCCCTCACGACTGACCAAAAAAAAAAAAAAAAGCCCAGGCCCCAGGGCCCCCCCCCCCAAAAAAAAACCAGTGGGGGCTGGGAAGGTGGCTCAATGGTAGAGCGCTTGCCTTGCATGCATGAGGCCCTGGGTTCCATTCCTCAGTACCACATAAAGCACAAAAAGCCAGAAATGGTGCTGTGGCTCTAGTAGTAGAGCACTAGCCTTGAGCTGAAGAGCTGAGGGACAGCGCCTATGCCAAGTTCAGGCCCCATAACCCGGGGTAGGGGGGTGGAAGGGTTGGGGGGACACTCAGGAAAGAAAGGGAGAGGAGGAGGGGAATGGGAAAAGGGGGGGAAGGAGGAGGGAGGGAGGCAGGTGTGTGCATACCTGTCAGCCTCATCCAGGATGATGATCTTGTGGCGTCCCTTGGGGAGGGTGACCTTCTGCTGGGCGAACATTTTAATTTTATTCCTCACCACATCGATGCCCCTGGAATAACAAACAAATTACCTTTTTTCAGCTTCTCTCCTACTGGACCCACACCTCAGCCATCCTTGCTTTCCTCGTCATTCCAATAGAGTCTCACTTTTTTTTCCCAGGCAGGCTAGGACTTTGATCCTCCTCCTATTCACACTTCCTGTGGAGCTGGGACTGACTACAGGCCCTCACCGCCATGCCCGGTCCCATCCTTCATCGTTTATTCTGTAGGCATGGCTGAGGGTGTGCAGGACATTTGATTTCTCCTGTGCTGTGGGGCTCCCTCTCACACTGGGGTGCCTCGGGCCCTGCGCATTACTGTAAGATGTGTGAGACAATGTTACACTCCACCTCTTTCTGGCCTTTTGTCTTCAGCTCTCCTTGACCACAGCTGAGAATCAAAAGCTCTCATTTCCTGAGGCTGGAGGCAGAGGTCAGGGACAGGGCACCTGCCTAACACATACAAGCCCTAATAATCCACACCCCCACAGCAGCCTAAAACATAGTTTTAGGTTATATATATTTCACAGTGCCCTTTTCCTTTGTGTTTTTTTTTAGGTCTGAGACTTGAACTGCACCTGACACGTTCACTCACTGGCCAGCACTTCATCGTGAGCCACACCACCAACCTGTGTTTCCATTTCCAGACGCTCACCTGTCGTTGGAGGCATTGAGCTCCAGCACGGCGTCCTTCAGGGCTGGGCCCAGCAGCGCTCGGGCCAGGCACAGGATGCTGGTGGTCTTGCCAGTCCCGGGGGGGCCCTGGGAACAGGGGTGCTAAGCATTGCCCCCCCCAGGACTCCCCCACCCCAACCCCAATCCAGCAATGGCCCAGGGTGCAGCGGGAGGGGGGACTCACGGCGATGATGATATTGGGCACATTCCCCTCGCGTGCGAAGACCTGAGGGCAGACCCCCATTAGAACAGTTAGTTCACCAGGCAGATGGCCTGGCCACACTCCCTAGGGGCAGCTTTGGATGTGTTCAACATAGAACCTGAGCCCACTCCACCTACACCAGCCCCACCACGCCTCCCTCAGACTGCATGTGCCAGGATCCTGGGGCCATCCTCTCTTGCAGCCCTCCCCATCTCAACAGGTATGCTAGGTGCAGTGGCACACTCCTTTAATCCCAGCTGTGGAAGAAGCAGAGTTAAGAACACTGCAGTCCAGGTTGGCTTGGGAAAAAGAGGGCGACTCTACCTAAAAAACTAAAGCAAAAAAAAAAAAAAAAAAAGGGCTGGGAGGGTAGACTGAAGTGGCAGAGGACCTAGCTGGCAAGCACAAGGTCCTGAGTTCAATTCCATGTACTACCTGCCTTGATTGCCCACCTGGCCTTTACAAAAAAAACTTCCAGCTGTAAGGGAGCAAGACCCAGTGTGAACTTTGTGTCTTTAGTAAGCTTAAGCCAGTTCCCCAAGCAACTCCGGTTACACACCTTGGCTTCCAGTCTCCCTCAGCCCTCTGGACTTCTAGTTCACCTGCCTCTCACCAGCTGGCTGAGTCCCTTCCAATGTCACAGCCAAACAGCGACCTGAGCCAGCTGTGAGAGCCGCCCTCACCTCCAGCCTGCTGACCGTGTCCTCATTCCCCACGATCTCGCTCAACTTCACTGGCCGGTATTTTTCAACCCTGTGTGGCGGAAAAGGCATAAAAATGTCGACGTTCTCCAGCTACCGCCAAGAAAGTACTAAGGGGGGGGATCTGAACCGTCATAGGATGCATTCCAGCCGGGCATGGTGGGGCACGCCTGTGGCTCCAGCACTCTGGACGCTGAGGCCGGAAGATGGGCGATCGAGACCGGCTAGGGGAACAAGTTCGAGACCAGCCTGAGAGTGTCGGCTAGACCTTGTGTCTCCCAACGATAGCAACAAAAAGTGATAGGCAAGAACTCAATAAAACATGCGCCAAATGGATGCGAGTCTGCCCCTCCGAGGCCGCACACCGCCCGGCGCGGGGAGCCAGGGGAGCTGCAGCCGGGCTTACAGGCGGGAGCCGAGGGACCCGGCGCGGAGCTGGGTTCTAACGAGGCGGGCGACCACCCGCCCGGGGCCCCGATG